AGTCGGTGATTACAACGTGGGAGACAGTGTTGAGCTCAAGTGCTCTGCCAGCCCAGAAGGTAAGAGTTATCTCCCTTAGATTGTTCAGCCATTTGGCTATGACAGTCAGTTGATAAGTTGATAGAAGAAACAGATTTAGAAGAAGGTTCAGGAAACAGGAAACATGAATAATTTTCTCAAGGATTGAGGTTTTTCAGCTGAGTTAAAGAACTGATTAAATAATACATATTCTTTTTCATTTACTTAATCAATCTGATTTATTCAGGTGAACAAATAGAGTTTGATCTGCAATGCTTTCTGTCTTAAATATTGACTGCAGTTAGATGTGTTCAATTTATATATGTATTTATATATTCACCATATTAAATGAGTGTAAATATGCATATTTTTCCTTAATTTCTTCATATTTCTCATGGTGTTTATGGAATATATGTCATTGGATAACCTTCTTTCAAATTTGACTTTGATTTTCCTAGGTTTTCCAGCAGCAACATTTGAATGGAAGAAAGATGGATTGACTCAGGCCCAGAATTCGGCGACATATCGGATAAACAGTGCACGTCTGTCGGATATCGGAAACTACGTCTGCACACCCCAGAACAAAGTTGGCAGGGGACAGTCCAGCGCTATTTCATTATCTATCAATGGTAAGTAATAATCATGATAATATTTTATTTGTCGTTATCTTCATTCTCATTGGGCATAAGATTTGTTGCTTTCTCTGTTTTTGTTTAAGCTGATTTCATACTGGTAAAAGGACACATACAGTGTGAATTTGTGAAGTGCTTTGAAAATGTATTATTATTTGGAGCTTAACACTTTAGGTATGAAATTCTATTTCTTTGAATACTGCTACGCCCCCTTTTGTCTTTTTTATCTCTAAAGAAAACTACTATAATAGAGTTACCTCCCTTCCCCTTGAACATACGTTATGAACTGGATTGAAAAAACAGCTGTAAATACTGGCAAGTTTCATTAATGAACCAGTAACAATTTTACTGCATCTTTCTTTTAAGAAAGGTAAGTTATGCTATAGTATCACCTTCAAGTTAAGTCACGAACAGTTTATTAATGTACAAATTGAAACACTGTATTAAAAGACTCTGATGACTGGGTATTGACTGAGGGCTGTCAGCACTTCTATTACCACATACAGTTAACTGAATATGATCTTACAGAGCCCCCAACACTGACGGAAAGTCCGAACAATGCAGAAATTCATGTGCCACTTTCTGACCAAGATCCCATCGAAATCAAATGTGTGGCCCGAGGTCGGCCATCTCCAAGAATCTCCTGGTTCAAGAATAATGATGACGTTCCCCTGATGACTCTTTATCCAAGGTTCTACACCATCGAACAGACAAACATAACTGAGAGTACCCACAGATTCATCATCACAAATATCCTCTACTTTAGAGGTGAGTGTAAACAACATCACATGCTCGGTTTATTAGCACGTGTACATATACGTGTACAAATAGCTGAATAAAAGAAGGTATTAAACAATGAAGACACTATTTACAGGTGTGATCATGGTTTGTTGTGAGTGAGTTTAGTTTTACTCTGCACTCAGCAATATTCCAGCTATATGGTGGCGGTCTGTAAATAATCGAGTCTGGACCAGACAATCCTGTGATCAACAGCATGAGCATCAATCTGCGCAATTGAGAACCAATGACATGTGTCAACCAAGTCAGCGAGCCTGACCACCCGATCCTGTTAGTAGTAGCCTCTTCAGTAGACAAGTAGTATAGTAAGCAGTAGCCTTTTATGGCAAGCATGGGTTGCGGAAGACCTATTTTACCCCGGAACTTCACGGGTTGTTGTGATGAAAGAATGAAATACTGGTCATGAATATCAAGTACTGACAAGAATTGATGGAGTTTAGAAACCATGATATTTATAAATACAAGTTAAATTTCCACTTCTTTGGGACATAGTTCACAGAACATTGAATGGAGAAAGTGTCTTGAAAAAGCATGTCCCCACCATGATAAGATTCTTTTCTTGGTTCTACAAAACATCGGAACCTGTGAACATCCAGGTTAGTATTTGTCTTCAGCAACCCATGCTTGTTGTAGGAGGCGGCAAATGGGATCACGTGGTCAGGCTTGCTTTACCAACATCGTATCCAAGTTGCATAGATCGATGCTCATGTTGTTGATCACTGGTCAAAACTTGATTATTTACAGACCGCCACCATGTAGCTGGAATATTGCTGAGTGCGGTGTTAAAGAATGAAACCAAGGAGGAGGAAAGGCTGTTTGATCAGAAATATTTTTGAATATTTTAATTGTTTTCCTCGACCAAGTGTAAGACTGCTTAAAGGTTTATGGAGACTGTACCTGCCTTCAGCAGTGAACCTACAATGTGTATCTGTGTGTAGGTGGGGGAAGGAACATGACGGAGTCGGGACGGACACGACTACGGGTTGAGGACATCGGGAACTACACGTGTCGTGTGGAGGCACCCTCACACACGGACACCGTCAGCGGCAGGGCCAGCGTCTATGTTCAGTGTACGTACACCTGCTTGTCTATGAGTCACAGTATCTCAGTGTCTCTGTATTTGATATCTCTCAGTCATCTTTTTATGAATTATCAGGCCTCCCCTTATTTATCATACCTCTCTCTGTGTCTCTCTCACTGAGTCATTTTATCCATTTATATGTGTCTCTCATTAGCTGTCACTGTATCTCTGACCGCCTCCATGGTGTAGTGGTTAGAGCGTCCGCCCGGAGTGCGGAAGGTCGCAGGTTCGATCCCCGGCCGCGTCATATCAAAAGACGTTAAAATATGGTACTTGTCCCTGTCTGGCGCTCGGCATTAATGGGTACAACAAGGACTGGTCGGCTCGGAGTCAGTATAATGTGTCTGAGTGGGGTATTCATGCTTCACTGCAGCATGGTATCTCAGTGGGCTAGCACTATAAAACCAGCTTCAGTCTGGGCTAGTACAAGCAGCCGCACATACACATACACATTTATCATCCGAAACTGTGTTCCACAGGAGATATTGCTTGTGTGAGATCATACAATATCTCCAAGGAGATATCATTTTGACAGTAGATTTTGTACAATGCCCTGACAATGCCATGACGTCATGAACTTGATGACGTCACAATGACATGACATCACTGCACCGAAAGTCTAATGGCTGTAACCGTGTTCAGAGACGTACATTTTTCATTGAAAACTAATGAAAAGTGATTATTTATGATAAACAGAATCTCGGCAACCCTTAGATTTTGTAACTTTATCAACTTGTGTTGATATAATTGATATCAGTAGACACTTGGGTGAGATTGTCTATTTATCTCTCACTCCATGTCTCTCTTTATCTGTGTGTCTCCCTTGTCTCTCCATGTCTCTCTCTTCTCTGACATTTAAAACACGAACTATTTGGTCTTTTAAATGGTGAATCAGAGTACCAAATATAATTTTGTTGGCATCTGAGTAACACACTGTTCGGTCCTGAATGCCTTTTCAGTTTAAGTTTAAGTGGACCCGACGAATTGTGTACATCAAGGGAATAGGCAGCCATAACATTATGTGAAATCATAATTATTGAATTCCAAGTGAATCATGTTTATTGTCGAATGACACTGTCATGACCAAACAATTCCTCCTGTTGCAGTCAAACCCCTGGTGACTCTGGGTGAGGAACGGGTTGCCATGGATATTGCAGACACGGCCGCACTGCCGTGTATAACCCGCGCCAACCCAGTTCCAACCTTCCGCTGGTACAGGAACAACGTGGAGATCTCCGAAGGAGGTCGCTACTCAACGAGGTTGGAGGTGCTCGGAGAGACGGCCATGTACCAGAGCGTGCTGACTATCCTGGACGTCAGTCAGGGAGACTTGGGAGGATACATGTGTCGCATGGAAAACCCATTTGGGAACAATTCCAAACCTGTCACATTGTCACTGAAGTGTAAGTATTGGTGACTGTGTTTTTGTCAGATTGTCACTAAAGTGTAAGTATTGGTGACTGTGTTTTTGTCAGATTTCTGTAATTAGCTAAAGTGTACTTGTACAGCAAAGGGTGTATGTGTACGAACGTGTGTTTGTGTATTTGTGTGTGTTTGGTGTGTCTATGAGCAAAGACAACTGTCTTTAAATAAGTCAAACCCAGACAAGAAAATCCTGACATTGTGGTTTGAGTGCCATTGTACCTAAGTGAGTGTTTGTCATACTATCAACCACTGGTTTGCAGTGTTTTGACATGTTATTTCTGTTGCTGTGACCTGTGAACATGTGTGTGAGAATTGGCCTTCAGCAACTCACTTGCTCACTCACTCACTCAATCTGTTGCTGTGATATAGGTGGCATATTGATAACCATGGCATTGAACAACTCACTCACTCACTCACTCACTCTGTTGCTGTGATATAGGTGGCATATTGCTAACCATGGCATTGAACAGCTCTCTCACTCACTCTGTTGCTGTGATATAGGTGGCATATTGATAACCATGGCATTGAACAACTCACTCACTCACTCACTCACTCTGTTGCTGTGATATAGGTGGCATATTGCTAACCATGGCATTGAACAACTCACTCACTCACTTCCTCACTCACTCACCTTCAGCTGCTCCGGAAGCCCCCTCTAACCTGATGGCCCAAAGCAAGACATGGGAGTCCGTCTCTCTCACCTGGGAGGCAGGGTTCGACGGCGGTGCAGCTCAGGACTTCTTTGCACGCTACAGCGCCGGCAGTGACATCAAAGAGGTGAAGGTCAGACCATCAGGGGTCGCGTTCTTCAACGTCACAAGTAAGTCTCGATCACATGCTTTACTCCTGATAAACTCACCATGTTCAGGCATTCATTCAGAAGTTTGCCCTCTTGATTGATAAAACTCAGGAGATGACAATCTGTCACAAGATCCTCTGCTCAACTCAACTTTCCTATTATTACATCAAGGCACAAAATATGAGTATATTTCAGTTTAGTTTTTCGGTTAAACAGATTCCAAATTGCAATGCCAATCAAGCATCTGTTAGATTGAGTTATGCCCCTTTGACTGTACCAAAGCTCATTTACACATTTTATGTTCTCTTTGAATTTGCGAACAAAATGATTTCAGTTGGGATTTTACGAGTGCTTCACATGCATGGAGTTGTCATAACGTGTTGAATTATCTCCCTTTGGCTATTTCAGGTGCCAGATGATATTGTGTTATTCTTCTTCAAGTTTTAATCTGGCAATTTACAACTTGTATTTTATCTTGTTTTTACCACCAAGTTCTGGTATAGAATTGTTCCCTAGCAACAGGTGCTTGTCTAACAAGGTGGCTGGTACTGATCAGTTGATTGTGTCGTAATACCCTGACAGTGGGGATCATCTTCAGAGCAGTTTTGTACACATGTAGTGGAGGGGGGGTAATTGATTTTGTACATGATATGCAAAGGGGGTCACTTACTTTGTATGTAAATTTTAGTGGGGGGAGGGGGGTGTCATTCACATTGTACATGCTTCTGCATAAAAATCATCATGACCCCCCCTTGCCGTCCCTTATGTCGGACACTGGTCTGTCGCCATACAGCTTGTAATTATACTCATGCAAACAATATTTCAACAATTTTATGTTTTTTCAGAATTGACTCCCCACACCAGCTTTTTGTTTTTTGTGTACGGACGCAATAATTTGGGACAAGGTGCTCTGTCGTACGGAATACCTGTTGTTACTGATGGTAAGTGTTGGATTTGTCTAATTTTGAATGAAACATTTTTTGTGGGATTCCAATGTCTTTAAGATCTTCTGAACAGCAATGTCCGGGATGTTATAGGATGTATGTTTATTTTTATTGTCATCGTCATCATCATCATCACCATCACTGGAGATCAAAGTATTGGTGTTCCAAAATTAAAAAACAAATTTGAACTGATGTTTGTTTTAACATGTAATTTTATAAATCATATTATGATGTTGAAAGAAATATTCTTACAAGAAGTCATGTATTGTTTATCAAGTGAACGGTATTTCATCCATTATCTCATTAATGAAAAATTGTAGTCTGACATTTCATTATTTGTTTCAATGAAATACTTTCTCTAAGGCATGATGAATATCATGTGAATGAGGGGCCGTGGGGTAGCCTAGTGGTTAAAGCGTTGGCTCGTCACGCCGTAGACCCGGGTTCGAGTCCCCACATGGGCACAATGTCTTAAGCCCATTTCTGGTGTCCCCCGCCGTGATATTGCTGGAATATTGCTAAAAGCGGCGTAAAACTAAACTCAGTCAGTCAGTCATTTGAATGAATTCCAAGTCCATGTGTTCAAGGTGAATCTTTCAAGATAGATGATCTAATCTTTCCTTTGGCTGCAATATTGCCCTGAAACATGTAACTGAGTTTCTGTCTGTCATTTGTGGGGATAAACTAAAAACTAAAAACTAAAAACTAGTGTGAACATAAATCAGCAAAAACATATTGCAGGAATTCTTAAATATATTCTTGAACCAATACGAACGTGAAACCAGTTCCAAGACTTCATGACTTCCTGGATGTTGCAGAACTAGTGATCCAGACCCTGGACAGCGTGCCAACGTTCGACTCATCCACCCAGATGCTGGTGGTGAAGATCGGCCTGGAACCAGCATATTGTCTCAAAGTGGATATTCGTACCCAGGAGACGGGGAGTCGGTGGGAGACAGTGTACCCATGCTTGGAGATGGTCGGCGACAGTGTAGAGGTTCCCGGTCAAGGGGTCAATGCCATGAATGTGTCAGTGTGTCTGAAATACAGGAACGATGTCTGCGGATCTCCCATGCAAGCTGAAATAAGTAAGTGTTTCTGACTTCTTTTGACAAGAACCCGTGAAGATGCGGGTTAGGATTGATCACCATCATCCAATGCTTGTCGTAAGAGGCGACTAACGGGATCGGGTGGTCAGGATCGGTGACTTGGTTGACACGTCATTGTATCCCAGTTCTGTAGATCGATGTTCATGTCGTTGAGCACTGGATTGTCTGATCCAGAGTCGATCATTTACAGACTGGCACCATATAGCTGGAATATTGCTGAGTGTAGCGTAAAACTAAACTCACTCACTCACTCTTTTAACAATACATTTAGACTCTTAAATGAAAATTTTATAATATTACTTTTTAATAGAAAATAGACCAGAGAATCAAGACTTGCCGAAGTCTTGTGGAGATGCTTGCTGGACTTGATATTTATGTTTCAGGGTTGAGAGTTCATAAATTCTTTTAAATGTTGGCCATGCTATCAGTATGGTTCAAGTGTTTGGTCGTCATTATGGAACCATGGTACTGTCAGATACTATTTGTATGACAACACCTTCATACAGTCAGGTACATATATCACTATCAGATGGTGAGCTGTAAGTAGTTGTTATGCAAATAGGATGAACAAACTATTTGGTCATTAGTGCAGGGTAAACGTGCTCATGTCCTACAATTAACACGGACTGGCCAATTACAGGCAAATATACTCAAGAGTTAATACATTTATCAGTCATGCATTTTATGGGGTTTAGTCAAAAGAATTAATAGGCAGCCATGTTATTTCAGTTGCGACATGTTTTAGTTACTTCAGGACAACAAACACTTCAGTTTTCATTGCATCAATGAGTTTTATTAATTTGCGAGCACCCATCCTCTGACTTCAAGTTTCGTGTATGTGTATAATATGTTGTAGATTATAGTAACAGTAATGACTACAGTCCGTTTGAGTCAGACACGGACCGATGAATTGCAAATTTTATCATTGTACAAAATTGCCACATAAATATAAATAGTACACATGTTTATCATTTACTAATACCCAACAGCTTTCTTATATTTGAAAATTTTCCGGACTCCAACAAACAAATTCTTTAAGAAACTATCATTAAAATTTTGACACGGTTCACTATTTGTTATGAGGGAGGAGTGCAGAGAAAGGGACAGCCAGGTGTGCGAGAAAGGATGGAGACGGCACAGCACAGGCTAATGAATCAATAACTTGGTGGGCAATTGTGCACGTGCTTCTCTAACACCTGGCTGTCCCTTTCTCTGCACTCCTCCCTCGTAACAAATAGTGAACTGTGTCAAAAGCTTATCTCACCCGCTTGGTGGGTATTAGTAAATGATAAAATGTGTACTATTTATATTTATGTGGCAATTTTGTACAATGATAAAATTTGCAATTCATCGGTCCGTTTCTGACTCAAACGGACTGTAGATAGATTGACTCCATACACAAGGTTTATGGACCCTGTGACTACAAGTTTTATGTATGTGTATAATATGTTGTAGATTATAGTAACAGTAATGACTAGTTGTGTGGAAACACTTAGCTGCTGCTATAAAGCATCAGAAGCCAGATTGCAAATATGGAGAAAAGTGTTTTACGAGTGTTTTATGACTGTGTGATAAGTTTTGATATTTACTTATACCACACTGAACCTTGGCGTGACATCAAAGGGGATATTATATGATGGTTTTCTGTGTCGTTATAACCGTATTGGAATCTCTTGACCACCGTCCAACAAATATTGACCCTCCAAAGCTTCTGTAGCAGTACGAGTTGTTTTGACAATAAATGAGTGAGAAAATTCCCAGTTCTATATTTCTTGTAAGGGGCAGTGGGGTAGCCTAGTGGTTAAGCGTTTGCTTGTCATGCCGAGAACCCGGGTTTGATTCCCCACATGGGTACAATGTTTGAAACCCATTTCTGGCGTCCCCCCACTATGATATTGCTGGAATATTGCTCAAAGTGGCGTAAAACTAACTCACTCACTCACTCAAACGTTTTGTACTCATGTCACTCTGAGACTATTGAACCAAGAGAAAACATCAACAGATGCTGATGTATTGTATAAAAATCATATTAATTGTGATGTTCATGTTATTAGAAATACATATCTATATTATCAATGATACTCATATCATAGAGGAACTGTATTGAATAATATTCCCCATTTTATGAACATCTGTACCATGCACAAAGTGCATTGATATTGATTAGATATAGTGGTTGTTAATGTCACCATGTTATACGTCTATTACACACACTGAGTGACAGGTCCGTTATGGGCAATAGCACACTAGGGAAGTATTGGGCGCTATGGCATTTTGACAACAAGAAGGCGTGATCAATTTCACCTGTCACCAATGAGTGATAGGTAACATGATATGTACAATATACATGTAATTCCCTGCTCATGTAATAATCTTATGTATATCACACTCTCATGCATTAAAATGTGTGTATCACACACTGTCATGCCTTAATATGTGTGTATCACACACTGTCATGCATATACATGTATCAGCCTATCACATGTGTTCATATGAAACATAGTATTATGTATAATATGTCATACATTTTCATCAGATCTACCTTCATATATCGCATGATATATCTGGTTATCATATATCACTGTCATACATATATCTCACTAGCATCCCAATACCACATCAACTTGCGTATTCACCTAAGAGATATCGTTAGGGTGAAGTCTGGGTAAATTTGCAACAAAATGCTTTGCAGACGATTGTGACATCATAAGTTGCCATGGCATCACAATGAAATGACATCACTTATCTCGCAGCCACTGATAAGCTGTACATTTTACACTCACAGGATCTCACACTAGTGCCTTTTCATATGAAGTACAGGTGTATATTTGATGTCAAAAGGCACTCAGGAGAGATTCCACTATATTACATCTGTAAATTGTTAAAAAGTAAGAATGTCTGAAGTTCAGCTGATGCTACAGCTGGTCGTTGACTGTAGTTTGAAAACACAAAACAAATATACATTCCTCAACTTTTGAAAAGGATAGTCAAATAAGTCCGTCTAGTTAAATATCCACTTCACAAATGAGAACTGGTTTTGTATGTTATGTAAAGATAAAATCTCCATTTTCAAAGTGGAATAGTAAACACTGAGGTGTGAAAATTTGAATTTAAAAATTAAACATTTAATCATGTAATTAATATTCCTGGGAAGAAGCGACGGAGATGACAAGGAGTCATGTGTGGAATGCCTGCAATGATACTTTCTGAAAACCAATCACGTTAAATATGTGATTGATAAGTGCAGTCAATAGGAGGTCAAGTTGATAAGTTGTCAGGGTGGTAGTATCCCTTCCCTGATGGCCCAGTGTTAGATCAACAAGCAATAGACAAGCTGATTACAGGGCTTACCTGGAAGTTAACGATAGGACACCTCCGCCTATCGCCAGTGTTGGTTACCTGGTTTCCATAGCAACTAAAGATCTTGCTTCTAGATAGTTTAGTTTCAAGTTTTGTCATTTTACATTTACGCTTCACACTTCAGTTGGGGTTGAATCAGCATGCATCAGAAGTCAGTGTTGTTTTACATTTGAGTCACTTTGGTTTTCTTTTAAACAGGTAAAAACAAAACGTAAATAAGAATATAACATTTTGGACAATAATTTGTAAATATTGATTATTTAAGACTTGATATCAAATTGATTACCAAGTTATTACCAAATTGTTAGTGAGAGATGTTATGAATTTGAGCAATAATAAAATTAATTTTCCAGAAAAAAATGTGAACTTGAGAACTTTAAATAAGAAATGGTTATTCCTAAAGTATTATGATAAATATTTAAAGTTTTGACATTGGTTTTGTATGAAGTTAATAGCTTCATGTTATTACTTTATAAATGCTGGCAATGCAAAGGGCTAGTTACAGTTTTCATTGTTTGAAAAAATGTTCTTGAAAACATCAAACACTTACATGTTTTCTTATGTCAACAAACACCTGATCAATAAAGAACTCATTTAAACAAAGTGAAAGTTTATCAATAGATGTTGTGAATGAAAACAACACTGCCTTATTTCATTATCAGACATATTGATTTCCTCACCAAAGTACAAACAGAATTGCCTATGTGGCCATTGTGTGTAAGAATATATCATTAATCCTTTATGATCGAGGGGTAGTTTTCAGGAAAGCAGCAGGGAAAGGCAGGTGTGTTTTAGTAATGTTTGTTGTAAGAACAATAGTATATTGAATATTTCAGTATGCTAAGTGTAAGTTAGTGTTGGTAGGGAATCGATTATTGATGGATTAAAGCCTTACGTATAAGCCCCCCATGGATGTAGTTTCTGTAGGTGTTAGTCATTAAATATGTGTCGTCTCTTGAATATGATGAGTACTTTAGAGCGACCCACACACATTTATTGAGAAAAAACATGTTCATATATGTATGCTTTGATTATTATTTTGGTAAAGGTCCAAGTCGTATTTGATAATTCTCACACTAAATTGTTAAAGCAGGCACAAACCAAATTCACTCAGTGACTCATTCATTTATGAAACGTAACAGTTCATAACATATTGTGACCTGGGCTAGAAAATTCCCATCAACGAATGTTTGTTGTAAGGTAAATAAAGGAACACCTGGTGGTCAGCATAGCAACCAGATAGTGCCGGGTGTTGGGTGTCCCAAGTGCTTCAATGCAAGTGCCAACAACATAATGTCCAAAGTACTTCAATCCAAGCTCATTACTTTACATCCGAGGGGCTTGGAGTCCCAACCACAAGTTAGGGCTGAGATGGGTAGGAAAAAATGGAATCGAGTACCCGCATGTACTTACCCGAATCGGAATTGAGTACCCGGAAATGTAAGGAATACAGCGCTTTGTCAACTTTGAATATTCAATCACGATTTGACAGAGATTATTATAGAAAACTTACAAGGGTGGCAATAAGACATTAAAACGGATCTTAGGATATTTAATTTACGTCTGTTAAACCAATATAAAGAGTAACACCATTACTTACATTGCTCGTTAAAACACAG